CTTCATATTTTTCTGAGTTTTACTCCTGAATGTTAAACAACGAGCATTATCATTACATGATCATTAGCACTGGCTTTACTATATTTATTTTTATTATGTATCTAATCCTGAGTGCTTCAGCTATAGGGCAACTCCTAAGTCCAAAGAATAATAAACATTAATTATCTCAGTAATCTTTACAAGAACAGCTTAAGGCAGATCAATAGCAGGCTGAAGCAAAGCGATATGGGCTTGTGTAATACCAACTAGTAAGATGAAAGATTACCATTAAAGATAAAATGTAACCATATACAAACAAGGGTAGAAGTGTTAACAATATATCTAAGTGGAACTACATTTTAGATATATTTTAGAGGGCCCTTCTACTGTGTGGATGTCCACACATACATGCTTCTCAGCTTGCAAATTCAGGAGAATAAATGCAAAGATAAATACAAAGCTGCAAAGTTGGCAGACCGGACAATCATATTCTTCAATACTGTATTTGAATTTGTTGGCAGCATTGCATGGTATGCTGTTTCTGGGTCACCTTAAATCTGTTGTGTCTACTTTACCTGCCAAGTATAAAAGGAAATGATAGGGGATCCTTTGAATTATTAGTTGGTGTTGCCCAACATTCACTGACAAACACTTTGAGCTTTTTATCTCTTGTATGAATTCCCACTTCAATCCTTATGTCATCACTAGCAGAAATTGTGAAATTCTGGTGAATTGGAGTCCTTCCAATGAACAACTTCATTTTTGTTAAGAAGTGTCCTGATCCATGTAAATCCTCAGACATGGTATAAAACCTGCAAGAGAACCGGTTGTCATTATCATGCATGGAGAGGATTGTGCTTGTTTGTTTATTCTAACAAGCTGTGTCCCTCGGTTCCTAGCATGCATAAATTCAACATAATTTCTCACCAGCGCAAAACAAAGGTGCTAAGGAAAGGCAACAAAACCGCCACGCTTGCTTTGCAATGTCTAGATTAGAAAACACTGAAGGAAGTTACCTAAGTATTAATGTAACGCATGAGATTATCCTCAAAGGAAAAAGGATCTTGGCTATTGGAAGAAATTGTTTATCTTTACATTGTTAAAGAATCCTACTCCTCTACTTTTTAAAACCTCTTTTCTATATTTTACATACCATTTCTTCCTTACTTCCACTTGCTCCTTCAGATTCTATTCTGATTTTAAACGGTTCCACAGGGCAGTTTCTCAGGGCATGTTATACAAGATATCCAAGCACTAAATGCAAGCCACAGTCATCAAATGTGAGCTGTGTGAAAGTATAAGTAAAGTAAGTTACACAGCTCTTTTAAAGTATTGGAAAGCACAGTGCAGTCTTTTCACAGTTGCAGCTTCCAAGTACTTAAAAGGGGCACACATTAAATGTAAGCTGTAGCTCTTTTCACATCTGATGATAAGCTTGTGCATTATCTACTTATGCTTCTGTGTAACATGCAAACCAAGAATCGGTTCTCAGCGCCCTTCTCCCTTTTGCTGAAGTATCCTCAGAAGTCTGGTTTGGGACTTGTACTTCCAGTGCAGGACTGGGCAACGACCAGGGGCCGGGGGACCCACTAGGGGACAAAATGGCTGCTGCCACTGCATTTGCAATGGCAGCGAGCTAAAGAATGGTGGTTTTCCTTGCAAACAAGGAAACAAGGAACCCAGAGTACACATACCTTTTTGCATGGAACATCACCAGGTAGTTTACTACTACCACAGCAAGGCCATGCAAAACCAGCAAGTGACTTACCTGCCCTTGTTTTAATATATAATCAAAGTAACATACATCATAATAGTTGGTTCAAATATATAATTACCCTTCTGTAATGTATCCAGAGGAAGTCAAGAGTTCATTCTCAAACACACAATCAATTGGACTGGCAATCTTTAAGAAGTGAATGATCCCCGGGTCCACATAAGGCATATCATTCCGGAGAATTGTTTTTACTATAGTGTGTGTTGTATTCTGAAAAATAGATAGGAAAAAATAGCTTAGCTTTTCCTTATGTTTAAATGACAACTAAAAGCATAATCCTATACCTGTCTACTTGTAAATCAGTCTCACTGACTTAAGTGGAGATTAATTTAAATATGTAGGTGCAGAAAAGTTCCCTTCAAGGGGATTGATGCATTCCTGCTAGAGACCAAACAGAATGATCAGAAGCATGGAAAATCTTTCATTTGAGGAAAGGCTAAAAGAATGAAACGGTTGTGGGAGAGAAGCAATTGATTGCGCTTTCCCTTAATTCTCAAATCAAACTACTTTCGATTTGGGCTAATCACGTTAATATTTTTGTGCACTATACACAACTGATCTATTAAATGGCCAGCTAAAATGAGGACAAAAAAGCACTTGACACATCAAGTGAAAGGAAGTCTCAGCAATTAGAAAAGATGTTCAGACTTCCCCGTCCACATTCCTGACCCTTCACTGCTAAGGGAAGGGAGTGAAGAGCTCGAAGGAGCTTTCAAATATTGTCACAATATTATTATATTGTATTTTGGAGTACAATTGACATAATACTTCAACTTTGGGCTAGTGCACCCGTATTACAGCTTGACACTGGTATTAGGGAATTTCATATAGAACTTTCTTAGTATACAGCTGCGCATGCATGTGCGCGCACACATACACACACATCATGTATAGCTTTCCTAGCATATTTTAGTCAATAGACATGATTGTTATGATGCGATCTAACAATGCTCCCATTACACTCTTATAGTGGAATCTTCCACTGTGTTCAATGAAACATAGACTGGAGTGTGCATGCATAGGACTGTAGCTTTAGTGAAAGCTGACAAACAAAATTCTCAGGGAGAAACATAGAAACAGAGAGAGTCAGAGGGGGCCTCCTGGGCATCTAGTCTGACCCCTGACTCCAGCCAGCTCCACTCACGACATGCCCAACATGTGCTTGTCTAGCCTCTCCTTGAACACCTTACCAATGGGGCCTCAACCACCTCTTGTGGAAGCCCATTCCATACCCTCGGGGTCCTAACTGTCAGGAAGTACTTCCTGGCATCCAAATTGAACCTTGGTTTTCTGTGCTTCACTCCATTGGAGCACGTCCTGCCCTCCTCTGCAAGGGAGAACAGGTCTTTACCCACCTCTGTGCGACACCCTCTCACATACCTGTATGTCGCCAACAGATCTCCTTTGAGTCTCCTCTTCTCCTGGCTGAAAAGGCCCAGTTCCCTCAGTCTCTCCTCATATGGCTTCCCCTGCAAACCAGCACCAACCTTGTGGCCCTATGCTGCACTGACTCTAACCTGGCTATATCCTTCCTGTAACGAGGGGCCAAAAACTGAACACAATACTCCAGCTGCGGGCGCACCAGAGTCGTATAGAGTGGTAGTCATACCTTTCTCGATCTAGAAGCCACACTTCTGGCTATGCAACCAAGGGTGGCGTTCGCCCTCTTGACCACCGCATCACACTGCTGACTCATGTTCAGCCTGCAGTCAACCAGTACCCCGAGGTCCCTTTCACAAGTGCTGCTCTCCAGCCACTTGTCACCTAACCTGTACTTATGACACCTATTCCTATGCCCCAAGTGCAAGACCTTGCACTTATCCACATTGAACAAAAACGTCTTGAGCTTGTCTTTTAATGCAAGATTACCCAGTTTATACCTCCAAGAACTAAATGTAAACCCAAATGCAATTTCTAGTCAGAAATCTGTACTTGTCAGAGTTTGCAGTGCATTTCACAAAATAAAAAGTACCTGAACAGTTTTCCATAGGGGTAGTCAAAAATAAAGTTTCATCCCACTTTGATCTTTAGGTATCTCTTTCTGCCCTAAGATCCCACCCCAGTAGTTACAACTTGGGAAAATATAAGTCTAAAGTTGCAAGAAATGTTTTAATACACCTTAATCTGTACTTATTATGCTATATTATTATATCTACAGCTATTCTTATTACCATATTTTTCCATGTATAAGATGCTACTTTTTCTTAAAAACATTTACTTAAAAATGAAGGTGCGTCTTATACACGGGGGGGCCACAGGCATGCTGGGGGGGAGACTGGCGTGGGCGGGGGGGCAGCACGGGGGGGGTGGCAAAGTAGCAAGCATGGGCAGGGGGCCGGCGAAATGCCATGGGGGGGGGGCAGTGAAGCAGTGTGCGTGCGCAGCAGCAGCTTGTTTGCTGGAGATGGGTAGGAAAAGTGGGGGACATTCTGTACATGGGGGCATCTTATAGATGGAAAAATTTGGTATTTGCAATAAAGTAACACTTAACATTCTCTTTCAAAATGACTTACGCTTTGTACTTCGGTTGCGCACTCATGCCATCCAGTCTGAAGTATGACATGACTGGAATTGCTGGTCTTTGTGTTGCATTCAGGACTTCCCAGGTACAAGGAGGATTCTGGGATGGAGCCCTTCCGCAGAAAGTCTTTCGGAATGGTGATGACTATTTTTTCAAACTCACAGAGCACTTGAACTGCCTTCTTAAAGAACATTCCCTGGAAAGGGTTTATGAATGACAGGGGTAAGGTGTGAGTTGAACTGTGGTTATTCACTATGGGTTCTGTAGATACATTATAAACTGTAGGGCTCATGGTTGCATTCTCCCAACTTCTGGCTATGGCGGCAGAAGAGTTTTCTCTAGCAGGGGCTAACGTATGGTTTGACGTATATGGATATGTCAAAGGCAAAACTGTGCTGCTCCAGTTTTTTGTCTGTGTTCCTCCAGCATCAGGGTTGGAAAGAAGGGCTACAGGAAAGGAGAAGGAATTCCAGATCAATTTTTACTATTCATTTTTGTCACTAAGAGTCAAGCACAACATTGCCACCATTGAAAAAATAGTGTTTTAAGAGGAAATATACCAAATGTTCCCATTTCAATTTTGTGTCAAAACTCATGCTTTTAGAAATATTTTCTAGAAAAAGAAAAGGTTGCTCAGAATAGTTTGCCTTTTTTGAAACAAGTTTGCTGCCATTGTTTTTCCTATCTGCTACTGCTTCAGTGCTAATTTTCCCTCTTCATTGGCAACTTATTCCTTGATTATGGATAATCAGGGATTATTTGGTTAATGGGACAATGACTTGAAGCTACAGAAACAGCCACTCCCATAACACTCTGTCCACATGCTGAGCTCAGCAAGTGAGGTTTTTTCTGGATTTCTCCATTATCAAAAATAATCTGGGTGCAGAGAGGTGGTACCTCATTTCTGAAAATCTCTCCCCACACAAGGAATTTATTCACCACCTTCTTTGACTCCTATTTCACTAATATTTTCACACAAGGTGAAGCCTTTTTTGTCTGCCCAAATCCTTTAAATGCTGAGTTTGAATTGTGTTAATTCACTGATTTAATTGCTGGTCCTCTATTTATTGCCAGTCTTATTTTGCTTTATAATTGTTACTTATTTTGTTGCAAATCATCTATGAACAAATTGACTGAAGGGCAGGGTAGCAATTAAATTTTAAAAGTGACTAAAATACATAGTCTGATTTAACTGTGCAGTGGCATCGCTGAAGCCAAGCAATGCCAAGTGAGAGTGAGTGAAATGCATCCTGGATCAGACACATCAATGATCCCAGCCACTTGCAGACATGTCACAATGCTGGGTCACCTGGGGTTAGTTGTACACTTGCTAACCCAAGAGACAAGCAGGCATTCTGTGGCTTGCCTGGGCTTGTTTCCTGCCTCATTTCCCCTCAGCCCTCTTACTGGTTCCTGGCATGCATCCCAGGAGCCCTTGTTCCCTCAGCCTCTGCATTAGCTTGCTTTCAGCAATTGGCCTGCTCAGGTTGCTAGCTCCCAAGGGAAACTGCTCCCCTGCCAATCAGATCAACCATTGGAATTAATATTCTGAGCACTCAAGAAAGCAAGGCCACCTGTTCCCCATTAGCCAAGCATACAGCTGCCCCATCCTGTCAATGTTCAGAGAACATGAACTGAGAGCGGCTATTGAACACCATCTGGCAGCTACCTCTGAGAACCCTCCATTTGAGTACCCTGGGTCCTCTCCCTTTGGGAGAGCCATTTTGGAGGCAAGCAAACTTCTTCTCTGCAGCCGCCCTCTAGTTGGCTAGCCCTTCTCTCTAAACACCACATCATGGGACCAAGAGTTGTACCAGGCTCCTGTCCCAAGCCCCCTCTCATCAGTTGCAGATCCCCCAGAGTCCATCTGAACATCTGGAGAAGGTGGCCATGAGATAAGCCCTTCCACTTCCCCCTTTTCAGTGCCGGGGGCTCCTGTTCCCAAGGCCCTCATACTCATCTGACAAGTCCAAATCTGCCTGACCTTAGAACATGCGCCAAAAGCAACCACCCTTTTCATTCCTGACACTTGCTGCTCCTCATCACTGTTTTCCATTACTACCTGGCACATAGACTTATGCATGAGAGAGCAAAGCTGGATGTATGCAAAGCAGTAACAAAGAGGGGATAGTTGCAAACATTTCCTAGCAGCAGAAAGTCATGTGATACAGTTATGCACAGACAATACAAAAATAAAGGAACTGTGATCTTGTCTGGGATATTCTGTCATGCCCCTTCTTCTTGTCAGGAGCACAAGGTACAGCGCACTGAGACGGGGTGAGGGAGGATGGTGGCAGTATTAGCAGGGTTCTGAGGAGTGGCAGGGGCTTTACCCGCTCTATCCAGGCAGCCCACTAGCATTCCTGGCAATTCACTATGAAGTTTCTTTGCTGGGTTCAGATGTCACAAGAAGCCACCACGTGCATCAACAACCCTCAAACAAGTTATAGCTTCACATGGCACAGCAATCCACAAACCCAAGAAAATATATGGCAAAAACAGGTATAGTAGACAAATGTACACATGCGGGTGGGGGGGGGATGCATACAAATACACACATTAAGAGAAATGCACTCAAAACTGTGTAAGAATTTTCTCAAAAATCTTGGAGTTTGGAATTAACTGAATTCCAAGATTGCATTCTAAGGCTGAGGAAATTCTCACAGTTCAAGATGAACTGAACTGAAGAATGGGAAAACAGTGAGCCAAAATTGACAGATTCATCCAAACCAAGGTCTAACCTATGCAACCTACTAAAGCACCAGATCAGATTGGTGCATGCTCTGGACACCTATAAGTTTAGGATATGGATGAGTAACCAGCATTAGTGGAGGCCAGGTCTCAACCTAACTGGGCTGGGGGCTGAGCATAACCCTTTCCCAAAGTTGTGTCTAAATCTGGGCCTCTTTAGATGCTCTCAATGATGACAGCCATGCCAGCATAAAAAAAAAAGCTCTGAAGGCCCTGCCAAAGGAAAAGGAATGAGGTTGTGTTGGAGGCTGAGGTAAAGCAAAATTAAAGTGTGGCTGAAAAAGTAAAACGTCAGAATTTTAATAGAGCTACAGCAAAAGCTTGGGCTCTGGGCAGCAACAGAGTGTGAATATGCCTTTTCTGATCTGGCAAGACTCTATTGTCCATCTCCTGGAAATTTAACCTAGCTTAGTCAGGCTAATAAATACAGCTGCTATTTGTTCTCTGTAGACTGCACTGGAATCCCACCTGTCATGAAAATGGCCTAATAGTTCCATGAGTGTAAGTTCAGAGTTAGAATGAAATGAAATAAATATTGAAACCTTGCCTTCACAATTTCTTCCTGGTCTTTCAGCATTTACGTTGACAAATCCTTCTTTGCAGATGCATTCATAGTATCCATATCTATTATTGCAATATGCATTGGAAGAACAGTCGGTTTCTTCGCTCTCACATTCATCATAATCTGTGGGCAGTGGGTGTTAAAAAGGAGAGAGATCAGTATATGATCATTATTCAACTGCAGTGGTGATTATAGTGCTGATTTTTATAGGCAATGTTCTTTCATGTTACTAAGAAGTTTCCCGGCTTGTGTTAAAGTTGTATGCCTGGCTACCCAAATTTAGTTCGTGGGTTGCTCTAGAGCAGTGATCTTCAAACTTGAGATTCCCAGGGAACCCTTCTCAAGCTGAAAAATCAGTGTGAAACCAATTCATAAATATGCTTAATGTAACACATTGTACTTGAACAAAATGTTACAGTGAATGCTGCAATAATACATTCCATATAATGTAAAAAGAAACTATTTATAAATTCATTAAATAACCCATTTATTACTTAGTAACCAAATTATTATTACATTTTTATACTGCCCATAGCCAAAGCTCTCTAGGCAGTTGACAGCAATAATCATACACTCAAGTTACCCATCCCACGTCTGCCCAGGCCTGCCCCTACTTAGCTTCCAAGGTTAGGCAGCATCAGGCACTTCAGGCTACATGGAAGCTACAAATAATACTAAATGTATTGAACACATACTAATTTTTAGTATAAGATCACAAACAAATACTTCATTTCAATGATTTGTATGTACTTGTTTTTTGCTGCAAAGAAAATAAAAAATAGGATTATTGGTGACAGTTGCAAGCACATTTCTGGTTCTGAATCCATTTATTCCTGTATTATGCCTGTGATTGTCATTCCTTGCAGTCTGAATCCAGCCAAACTACTTGGTATATGTGTTCTGACTGAAGACCTTACCTTGTCACTGACTTCTCTCTTAAAAAAACAAAAACAAAACAACAACACACACAAAGGAATGTCATTATAATCACAGTAGTTAAACCCCTGGATAATTCTCATGGAACCGTGGAGTTCTGTGGAATGCAGTTTGAAAAGCACAGCTCTAGAAGGACTTTGGACTATATTGACCATGACCTCACACAATTCTCAGACTTTCTCCAAATGCTGCTAGGCCCAACTTTACTAGTTCCAGATCCTTCAGGAATATGTGCAACATAGTGCCAATCATATACAACGCATGCAGATTTTCTAAAGCTTCTCCTCCAAGGTACTGCCATCCAGCCCGGGATGGGTACAGTTCAACAGCAACCACGCTAACGGTGCAGTCCGACTAAGATCAAACTACATATTACCATAAATACGTAGGATGCAACTGGCTCTCTTTCTTACTCCAGATTTAACATGTTGGATCCCCCATGTGTGAGTAGGGGTTTTGAGCCTTCCCTACCCAACCATTCCCTAAATTGCCCCCCCCCCCAAGCCCCTAACTTTGTTCAGGGCCACAAAATCCTGATAATGCCAGAAACACTGCTGCATCTGAGATCAAAACCCATTGTTTTAAGTTGGGAGTAAAAAATAAATATAGGGATGATTAACTATATCATCTTTCATTTGGCAATAAATAGGCGAGAGATCAGTAAAAATATTTCCATATGGCCTTTTAGAATCTGACCTCCAGCACTTACCATTATGCAGGGTTTGAGAAATGGTACAACTTACCATGTATGGAGAGACTGCTGTTATCAATCCTGAAACGGCGACTGTGTCGAAGGGCATCAAGAAAACACCGAGAAACATTGCTTGCATCCATGTTTGCTGGAATAAGGAGGCTGAAGCTTACTACTATACTCCCATTAGTAATGCTCATGATTGACATTTTAATCATATGGGTGTTCATTTTCTCAAGAATGTGAGCAGGGAGAGATGTACGGACCTGTGATCAAAGCAAAATGTATGCATTGTATGAAGATGTGTACAGAGAATGATTGGAATATACATTTTCTGGGTGGGATGATTCACAGAAACAGAAACACACCAAACACTGAATAATGTCTGTGCTTACAATCAGGAACCCTGGTCACATAGTGGCCATAGATACAGACCACACTCATGCATAGCTGTACATAGCGAGGGCTTATTTTTACCTTCAACTGAACATAGAGAAAGTAGAGGAAGTCAGGGGATGCCCAGAGGGGGATGGAGAGTAGGCACAACCATCTCGTTCAGTAAACATGGCTATGAAGGTGAGAACAAGGTTCAGCTCCATGTTGTATTATTGATAAATGATATTTTCTATCCCTGTAACACACTTGCAAACATAAGAAGAGTCGTGGTGGATGAAAGCAAAGTCCATCTAGGCCAACATGCAGTTTGTACAGTGGCCCACCACATGTTCATGGGAAGCAAAAGCTCCATCCGGCAGTTATTTCCTAGCAGTGGATTAATTCAAATACATATTGCCTCTGATCCTAAAAGTAAAACATTGTCTTCATGACTAGTAGGCATTATCCTCCATGAATCTGTCTCATCCCTTTTTAAAGCTGTCCAAGATGGTGATCATAATGACATCACATGGAAGCAAATTTCCTATTTTAATAATGCAGTGTGTGACATCATATGGGGGGTGGGGCGGGTTGGTCCTGAATCTTCCACTACCATTCAGTTATTATTATTAATTTCATTTCTATGCCACCCCATCATTTTACTAGATGACTCTGGGTTCTGATATTATGAAAGAAGGAGAAAAGTCTTTCCCTCTTTTATTCCACTCTTAATTGTATATGCTCCATCATATTTCCCATTAGCCACCTTTTCCCCCTAAGCTAAGCAGCCCTCATGTTGTAATCTTTCTTAAACTCTTGATCATTTTGCTTTCCCTTCTCTACATCTTTTCTAGTTCTACAATCATTTTTGAGGTGCAGTGACCAGAACTGTACACAGTATCCCAAGTGTGGCCACCATGTGGGTTTGTATAAAGACAGTATGCTGTTAGCATGTGGTCAGTCATTGCTAGTTTGGATTGCATCAGTGTCTATATGAATATAAGAGGTTTTTTTCTTTTTCTGTCCCAACAAGTATTAAACTTGTTTAAGCTGAACCACATTTGCCATTTTGATACCCATTTCCCCAATTCGGAGAGGACATTCTAGAGTTCTTTGCAGTGCCTGTTTGTCTCTCTGTTTCTTTTAGTCAATCTACAAGTCATTAGCCATTTAGACCACTCACTGCTCATTCCTTACTCCACATCATTTACAAACAAATTAGGAAAAGCTGCTATCACAGTCTTATCTATGTCTCAGGTTCTTGTGATGTGACTGTAACTCCCTTTCTGAAAAGCATTGTTCATCCACAGATCATCAATCAAAGTGATTCAAAAGTATACCCAACAGTAAATAAAACAATGCCCATTATTATACTGTGTAGTGTTTACCAACTTCTCTCATATTATCTTACCTCCATGAGAAACAACTGTGAAAAATTTTGGTACTTTTCACTACTTGAGTTGCTGAGCTCTGAACAATAATTCATATTTGATATCCTGACTGTTCCATTAAATTTCTGGGCAGCTGCAAGATTGGGGAGAAATATAAATATGATTGTTTAGAAGTATGGTAAATCAGATTGTAGTCCCTGGACTCTAGAAAGTGTCAAGCTAATAAGTGGCAGTCCTCTTTCAACTTGCAAAACTGAATAAAGAAGTTTAAGGAAAGGGACCAACATTATTTTAAGACAATGGTTTGCTGTTTTGCACTCGTACACAAGAAGAAAGTGATGTATGACATAACTATTTTCATAATTTCCATCCCATGGATGGCCACTAAGTATGGAAAGTGCTCACACTCTAAATACTAAACTAAAGGTTTGCTCATAGTTAATGGTCCTTTGGAAGAAGTTTTTTTTCACGGGAACATCTTGGGTGCTAAATTCATAAAATGAGCTTTCAATTATTATTTACCTGTCTTTACTTTACGCTGCACCAGTTCACTTTTATTCCCACAAACCTCTGTCTTAATTTCAACAGTGTACAAAATCCCAGGCTCTAATCTGGAAATTGTCAGGCTGTTGTTCTGAGTTTTAATCTCTTGTATAATCCGTTTTCCTTCAAGCAGCAGAAAATGGAAAGCAGGATTCTGGGTAAAATTTGCGGTCCAACCAACTTGAAAGCTGGTGCTGGTTACATTAGAAAAAACTATTCTTTCAGCTGGAAAGGTCACTAAGACAAAAGAGATTACAGTTAAACCTTTGAAGAGAGGAAAAAACAAAAAGCCTGTTCTTACAAGAATTGCCTATCCCATTTGCCACACTGTATTGTTTCATTAAAAAAAAAAAAGCTCTTCCAGCACTTGGTTGAAGTGTGAGAAGTACTGATAAAGTGTCTGAAAGTAAGTGGGTTCGAGTATGTCAGTCTGGTTCAAGTCTCATAAATAACTGCATGTGAATAATGCAAGGATGGAGGAAAGGACTTGCATGAGCAAAGCAGAAGAATAACAGTGAACTCAAGAAAATTTCTTTGTCTGACTTTACAATGGACCTGCGGGAAGACTACTTGTGCTGTCAGCAGTTTGGCTGGCTCAATATAACCTGCACCAACTCTGATAACGTTGCCGTTATTGTGGAATAGAGGCACTGCAGTTTCATGTTTTTATCTGCTATGTTTCATAGTTATCAGTTTAATATCCTTGGACTAATCTTCCAATCTTTAATCAGCTGAGGACCATTACCATTTTTCTCCACCTGATAATTATAAAGACAGCAGAACAGTTCTCTATTTCACTGGGACTGAATGTGCATTCTCCTTTGGCGTGTTCATGCATATCAACTAATCTACTTTCTTTTTGCAATATTGAGCTACAGGTGCAGACCACCAAAAATATAGCTTGCATGCTGTTTTTACCGTTTTTTATTTTGCTTTACCTCACCTTGAAGATGATGATGAAGGCAGAGCAAAGAGGCAGGTGTTTTTCACTCTTTTACCTTCCATCCATCATGTGTTCTTCCTGGTATGACCCAAGTAAGGTGATATGCCTGTGGAAGCAGCCTTCCACATGGAAATATCACTTGACGGGGCCAAACGGAAGTGTGGCCCAAACCACAGCATGGCTCCCAAACACATGCACAAGTGCAGAAGCTGTCTCTCCACTCTGCAGCGTTTTCAGTGCACTACCCATGGATGTCGATGCAAATGCACATTCCGTTGAAAGCAATACAGTGTGAAGAGACAAGAGTATCACTTGGAAGCACATCTAGCTAGGCTTTCTGCTTGCCTTTATACAAACTACAGCTTATAAGGGGACTTGTAAAAACAACAACGCAAGTCTTTTCTGTATACCTTTGTGGTCCCTCCCACTGGTAAGATCTACGGGAGCCTGTTTTGGCACCCAACACCTCTGTTTACTCATTAGTCATCCATTTTACTAACAGGGAAACTGAGTGGGTGAAATAAAGAGAAAGGTGTGTGCTTAAATACCAAAAGATGTGTTTTATTATGCACTTTGTTCACACTGAGGTCAAGTCTGCTTTGTGGCCACTCTCAGTGTTGCCTTCTTCATAGCAGCCTATTACTTCTACTTTTAAGGTAAAGGTAGACTCACCACCACAATCTTCAGCAAAGGAAATATTATTCTGCTCGTCAAAAAAGCCAGGTAACAGAGTGGAGGATTTTTCCTCAGCTGAAGATCTATTATCCTTCTTCACCTCTTCATCCAGAGTCTGGTTCAGCATATGACGCTTGGAGTATTGTGTTACGTTCAAGGATGGGTCTAACTGAGAACTTCTGTCAATTAAGAGGGCAGGTGTGCTTGTTTCTTCTACTGACCCATTTCTCAGAAAAGGATAATCTGTGATGTTTGAAACTTTGGGCAATGATGAGTTGTGCTCTATGTGTGCTCTTGATCTCCTGTCAGGTATGTCTCCACTTGATATATTTACATTGTCCCATGCTTCCGTCACCAGAGCTGTTGTTTCAGCAATCCTCAGTGTGTTATTATTCCAGACATGACCGGAAGCAGTTGTTTTCTGAGAAGCTGACAGTGTTTTGTTTGTCTGAATAGGGCTCAGCTGTTGTGTGTCACTTGAGGGTAGTGTTGTACTCTGAGTAGACCTGGAAGCGGATGAAGTCACTGCGCTTATCCCTGCCATTGACAGGGAGGGGGCACCTGTCACAGGTTGCGCTTCCGTGACATTGGCTTCAGGGGTTGGAACCATATCAGTAACAGGATCCACAATTTCACCTGCAGTGCAGCATTTTTGCATGTGACACAAAGAGAAATGTAATAGCATGCAAGAGATATTTCCTTGGTAAACCGCTATGCCCAAAATGGTGGTTCAAGCATTCATTCATCCACAAGCCACCTGAAACACTGGCCTCTTTCACTCACAATTCTGTACAAAGGAGCCAGGGGCAACCAAAACATGCAAGGTGTCCCTGAGCAGCTGGCTCCTCCCTCCAACCCCCACATGCAGGGGGTCTGGATGTGTATGGGGAAGCTCCACCATGGAATCAGGAGCTTTGTAATGCATGGAGGGAAAGAAAGAAGAAACTCTTTCAGTTCATGGAAGAAATCAACCCACCACCGCTGTATAAGTCTGATTCTTACCCTCGCAGTTCCTCCCAGGTCGTAATGGATTGGCATCCGTGGTTGTTTTGCATCGGCATATGTATGAGCCAATTGTATTTGTACATTGTGCAAGCGTACAGCAATCATTCTCTGCCTCTGAGGCACATTCGTCCCAGTCTGTAATTAAAAAAAAACAAAATGTAATTTTGAATTAACTGAAATATAATGAGAAATGAGGCAGTAATCTTTCATTCACAAGGTCACATAAATCCAAAAGATTTGTGCAGAAGCTTCACAAACAGACTCAGTAGGTCAGCACTCAGGAAGGCACCCCTAATCATGGAAATGTTGCATGATCTACAAGACTAGATTGTAGATCTAGTCTTGTAGATTATGCCTAGCCCCCATAGCCAATATGCAGGAACTCTGCCCATTGCAGCCCAAAAGATCTCGAGGCCACCAGGGTGGGAAAGGCTGGTTTCAGATATGGACATACACATATCCAGCCCCTCTTCTTCAGAAATGTACAGTACTTGGACCGCATATGCAGGCCAGGCATTACATTCGATCGCCTACCTTCCACCGCAGAGCTGTTTGAGTCCACCACTAGGGCAACACTTTTATACAGCATTGACATCATTGGATCGAAGGCAGACACGTCTCTGGGAAACTCGGGGTCATCCACGATGATTTTGAGCCTCACGATGACACTGCCAGCTTTGAGGGAGACCACCTGTACTCCAAGCTTCCCCATCCTGTGCAATGCTGCCATGCTTGCAGGCAAGGACTGCCTAATCTGAAAACAGGTGAGAGGACAACTGCTGCTTCAGCGCCAGACTCCATGTACATGGAGTGCTGCTCCCTTCAGCACCATCCTCCTTATCGTATCGTCTAATCAGAGTGCACAGAAAAGCCATATTGCTTCAATGGAGCAACTGCCCCTCTGAGCAAAGTCAGGCCAGACATTACACAACTGCCAGTCAGTTGCTGCACAGCTGAAGAAGACAAGGCAATTGAGTTGGGGTGGGACAGACATCAGCCACAAATATCCTAAAGTAGCCTATCGTCTTCCAACTGGTGGTTCAATCTTAAGCAAGCACAATTGCGGATGTTGCACAATTTGTTCCAGAAAGAGAGAGAGAGAGAGAGAGAGAGAGAGAGAGAGAGAGAGAGAGAGATGATACTTAACTTGCCTGAATTTGCTTGTGTAACTTACTATATGAAAATTGGGGCAATTTTGGTCCTATGGCTATGCCACAGGTCTTTTAATTACTTAGCACCATCCTTTCTGATAGTGAATCATTCCATACCTACATTTAGCATACACACATTACTGTTAATGACACTCCTATGAAGTAGGACAAATTCTCATGAAAAATAGACACTGCACGACTACTCTGTGACACAGGTACATTAACTTTAAATTTTCCATTAGGTAATTTTATAGCTTTACCTCAGTCATCAAAATACTGGAAAATGCTTGATATTCTGTACTGTTGGTGTAGAGCAACTGGTCCGTGAGGTTATAGTTCAAGATCCTTATAGTTAGTGCAAAGAGCCAGGCATCTAGAAGATGCAATATTAAGGGAGTGAGGGATGGGTTTCATCTGAGAACACACTTTCACACTCGCATATCCAAACTCAGATGTCAAAGAATCTTTCTGAATGAAGCATTAATTACAGTGAGGCAAGACAACCAGATTGTGGTTATGCAAATTGTGGCTTGAGCAAAGAGAATAAGACAAGGCAAGAGAAGAGAAGACATCTGAAGGCCTACTCCAGAAACAGAGCAGGCTATTTGGCACAGTCAGATTACGTACATGGTGCACTGACTATACTCCTAAATGCTGGAATTTTCAGAGATGGACAGATAAGAACCAGCTCAAAACTTTAGGTGGCATCTGTGTTTTCACTTCAAGACTGCACTTCAAATCAATGAAGGTGTGTTTTGAGTTACGGTGAAATACGACTGAGGCACACCGAATGCCCATCTTTTGTCAGGGGGAGCTGGCAGTGGGAGTGAAGAGAATAATATTTCTAAGATTACCAGTACCTGTCTTCACATTTCTGTATGAGGAGATGTTTCTGTCACAGGCTTCATAGCTGACTTTCACTGTGTACATTACACCTGCTTCCAGACTGGACACATCTACTTGCATGTCTGTGGTTTCTGTTGCTTGAATGAGTTCCTTGCCTTTGTACACTTCTATGTGAAATGAATGATTTTGCATGGAGTCCACACTCCAGGACATTTCAAAACTGCTGCTAGTAACATTGATGGTCCTCAGGTTTCTAATAACAGGAGGATCTGTAATAGCAATCAGGAGACAATTATTATCATTAGGATGTGCAAAATCAGCAAGCCTTGAGTTCTCCAAAATTCTCAGAATTCCATCTCCAAGGTCTTTCTAACCCAACTTAGAAGTATCAGATTGAGAGTTCTGTTTTTTTCTTCTTGCATAAAAATCGTGCATATGTTTATATGTATTTTCCATATGTATGCATCAGCTGTGCACATCTTTGAACTTGCCTTATTTTCCTATTTACTAAGGTGTATTTGTGCACATTTTCCAGCAGTATGCATTTTTTCATTTTCATTTTTTAAAATCTGTAAATCACATTACTAGTTCAGAAAGTAGTTCAGAGTTTGGCCAGACATCTGGGAGTGTGTTTTGTCTGGCAGGTGCAAAGTGGATACATCCTGATAAAAAATGAATTGAAATTGTTTTTTCATACATCCTGTTCACCATCTAATCCATTGAGTCATATCCAATGTTAGTCTTAACTATAGTAGTCCCATTGAAATGAACTGGACTTAGGTTAGGCTCATATGGAATACAATCTATCAAGTACAACATAAACTGATGTAGAGAATTAAGTCCTGTTGTATTCTGGAGTGCAAAAGACTGCTAGTCTCTGTTTTAAAAGAAAAGGCATAGAAATTCAGGAAGGATTGGTATAAAATTGCCTTTTGATATTGGATGCCTGATTAACTATATATAATGCATCCTAGTCATTGCCATGCTCATTAATTAAGTATTCTAAGAATGTCCAATGACTCTAGGGATCCTAAGCTTCCCCATTATTACTGCAATACCAAATGTAAGCCATAATATCAATTTCTTTGTTTACTTGTGTGGATCTGCCTTCACACTGAAGCTAGCAAAATAGTATATCAAAATAAAATGTGTCCTATGTCTCCTATGGCCCAGGATTGCTTTCTGGAATATAGGAGACATGGAGGAATTTTACTTTTGGCCTCAAGGGTTGAATGGTCAGGGTAACAGCTGACCCTTCCGATTGTTAGAGGCACAAAAATAAAGCAGAAAGAAGGACTTCATGTTGGGCGCATTTGCTTTGCGACGATAACAGTTTTCAGAGGAGTGGCACTTGCATATGTTCCGGCTTCTTTGATGTCAGCCTATCCCACTGGGGCAGCACCACCCTTTCAACATGGTATCCCAGCACAGTCAAAATGTGGCAAAACCACATAGGTTTTCTGCTACTATTCTCTTTTTGGACACTTTGAGACTTGGGTCTATGAAATTCCTCGCCACACATCCATTTCAGGTAAGGAAAAAACCCTCAATCCTACATTTCTACCAGCATTTTTGCCACTATTTTTGCCACTGTTTTAGATATCTCAATATCCTGGTAACTAAGGCCTAGCCAAGGGATTAAAACCATTTCAAATGACAAGAAGAATACAGCTAAGACCGTTATTAAGGAACTGATCTTCACAAGGAGACAGCATATGATACAGTTATAGGAAGGAAATGCCTAAACATACTTGAATTTAAAATATTCAGTTACCAAACCTAACAAGAGAATTATCCCCATTATTATTGTGATACCCAGAGCAAACCCAGCTAATGAACTCTCCAGTTCCCCTAAACACCACACCAACCAATCCCTCACAACCAAGAATGGACATTGTCTTCAGCCCACCTCCTGCCTCCAGTCTCTGGGATGGTGCAACTGCATCAAGAAAAAGGCTTCATTGTGAAGTAGGAATATTGTTAGTCAAAAGCTAGTAAATAAAGTTCTTGTAATGTGAATTTGCTGAAACTAAATAGGTTATTAGGCTGAAAGCTCACAGGAACAACTAGACGTTTTGGATTCAAATAGCCAGATTCAGTCAGGACTCAGAGATCTGGTTGCCATGACATTAAGGTCCACCATAGGGGAACAACCATGGTGAGTGTGATATGAACCCGGTGCAGTATCTCCAGGGTAGCTTGTTTTTCATCATCTAGCCACCCTGAGAACTCATGGCATGCTTTAGAGTTGTTGGTGCCTATGGTGGCTTGTAGTGTCATCCAAACCTGGCAGGACAACTTTGTCATGGGTTGCTGGGAAGAGCAACGGAGCCACGTGGCAAGAGTGGCAAAAGTCTCCCGCCGTTCCTCACAGTCTTGCTCATGCTGCTGCCATCCTCTCCCATCCCTTTTCAGTGCCCTCCACTTTGTCCCCCTAAAAACTGTGAACAACCATTTTTGTTTGCCTTTAGAGCATTGCATTATTTTTCTTTCCAATCCTGCAGAACTGCACAGGAACTGTCTTTAGATCTGTTCAACATGCACCTTGGCTAACTGCTCTGCCTCGACATTTGTGCAATTTTCTGTTACTGCTGTGCCATGATATTTGTTCATTTTACCACCACCCCACCCATGTTGCTGCTTTGCTGTGACATTTGTATATGTTTAGCAATCCCACTCACTGCTCTGTAACCCAGATGTGACAGCTTGCAATGGAAGGAAGCGACATGCGAAAGGGGGCAGGAGCTGACAGCAGCTGGAAAAGAGAAGGTTAAGAAGGAAACATACTCGGGCAGGGAAGTTAAATAAATGAGCACATGATTTGCAAAATCTGTTCTCTGGTTTGCCTTTCCAAAAAAATCCCATGGATTCTGAAGATAATATTTGATTATCCGTTCGTCATATTGTTGAAGAGGTGTGTTTGCAGTCCCAGCCGTGCAATGCTTTGCATATTCCCTACTCGAAAGTACCACCATTGCATCTGATGCAAGTGGCTTCTACACGAGTATGTCTTGGACTGTAGTCTTAGCAAATGAAATCAGATACATTAAAACCATACCAATGCCACACAAAATATTTAGACAGTATAAGATATAAACACACAGTTATAAACATAGCATTTCCTCACAATAACCTGTATGTTTTCTAAATAAATACTACAAACTACTGGAACGTTCCGGGTCTCTTTCCTCCAAACAAAACAGACCTTATAAAGTAGTTATGAACTTTTTCTTTGGTCGGGGAAGAAGAAGAGTGCGTGAAGCAAAACATTACTGTTTCTGGAAACACAGGGACCCAGTCCAGTCTATGCATCTTTGTGCTTATCAGGTGGTAACTGATATTACGGAGGTAAGTGGCTAAAGAAGCATCCTGGATCTGTGGTGTTTCTCCGCGGAAAGCAGAACAGATCTGAAAAATCCACATTTGAGCCGACGTAAAGAGCCATCAAGGACAGAGGAGGGTCACTTCTTAAGAGAGGCAGCCTCCACGTGTAGCCTGCTGCAGAAGGAGAAGCGCAGAGGAGGAGGGGCAGGACTGGAGCACTCCTTCTCACCTGTCCCAGTTAACCCGTTTTTGGACAGCTGATCGGGGCTATCATGAGCTCTAGGAAGGATATAGCATTATCTCTCACCTTCTCAGAAATAATTCCCACATGCATTTTTAAAAATTAAAGAAAATGAATGGTAACATTCCCACATCATGAAAATAGAGGGGAAAGTGCAGCCCTCAAGCTGCTCACCCATCCCATTTCTCAGATCAGTCCAAACTGCTGGCCCGGGCCTGCTGTAGGGCAAATGAAGCCACCTTAAGCATCATCACGAGAGGGTGAGAGATGATGGCAGAAGGTGCTTCTGAATGGTAGAGGAAGACACGTGGAATTCTGGACTCTGGCGGGAAAATACCTTGGGCAAATGCTGATTGATGTGAGATTAATATTTCTGCATCTTTAAGAAAGTTTAAGAACTATCAATATTTAAAGAATTATACCATAAGAAAAATCATTTAATGATTGGCCCCATAACTCTGAGGTCTGTAATTGGAAGCTCATTCACAAGCAAATTAAAGACATAGTTATCTAAAAATAGGTTGTGACACAGAACTGTGGGACTCCTGCGGAATGCCTCGCTCTGAATCGATATTGAATCAATAGCATTCTGTTTATTCATTCTCACAAATCTAAATAGCTTGATACAATTAGCTAAAGCAAATAGCTACATCTTCAATAAAAAGTAATTACAAACCATTACAAATGTCATGGCAGTAGAAAACAATGCATAAAAGAAACCAAAATTTGTATTGTATTTCTAGAGACCTAACATTTCTCAAAGGGATTTTGTTGTAAGAAATGAAGTTTTCACAGCTGAAGATTGCTGACCGTTGTGCAGCAGTGGTCTGTTGTCTTAAAATGTCCAAGTGTATTAGCAAACTGAATGCAGTATTGAGTTCAGTCAAGATGTTATTTCTTGTTCTTTGCTTTTATGAAAACTGCCTGGGAAAGTTCTGCTGAAGGGCAGTGCGGAAATTTCTAAAATACACTATCGATTAAATAGCAGTTCAACATGCTAAAGCAGAGGTGCCTTCAGGCAACAACCTGTACACCAGGCCAACTTCCAGCATTTACCTCACCCTGGGGACCCTCAGGACTCCCAGTTGCAAACCTCACGCTTGCTGCGTCACATGCTGTGTGCGTACCGCAAAAAACCAAGTCTTTCCCATGAGAGGCTGGACCGTACTCAGAATAATCGCCAATGCCACATGGACCTCCGACGGTCACAATTCCCCAGATTCAGGCTAGCCGCTTCCAAGAGAGGCTTTTAATGTCCATTTGCACTGCCTTATTCAGGACATGTTATGGAATATTTATGGACATTATACATTATCCAATTGTAACCCTCCTGTCTTTTCCCATTGCTTCCTTCTTCTTTTCCCAGAACCTATAAAATCCATCAAGGAGAAAGCAAAGACAGAATATCTGCACAGTGCTGATAGTTAGCACTGGACCCCTTAATTTGGAAGACCTTTCAGTTGAAATTAGCCATTTTTCCATTCCGGCTCTTACCCAGCAGCACAGGCTGCAACACCCACACTCTTCTGACTCATTCATGGAAACTGATCTAACCTCAAGTCCTGGCTGCAAAAAACACGTATTTTCAAAGGAGACATTCACACATTCAGCTTCCAGTCATCAAGTACTGAGGTATCCTTTGAGGGGAAATCTTCCCAGCTTGTGGGAAAGGATCCTGCAATGAATGGCAGGGAAACATCTCACTGCTACCAAATGCCAGCATCCATATCATCCCTTAGCTGTCCTCAGGAGAACTATCATGTTTCTTTCCAAATATAAAATGTTGGCCTTATTTTCTGCTTCGTGGTCTCCTCTCTGCACTCCACACTGTCCTGTGCATGCTATCAGTTGCCCTCAGACAAAGCAGACTTAGAAGTGAACACAGTTTTTAAAAAGGAAAGGTGACTTACCGCACTCTAGCGATCTGCCAACTTTTCGTGATACAGATGTTGAATTCGTCACCAACACAGAAGAATTTCCATTTTTAAGCAGAACATTCCGTGAACCTGGATCAGACTCTGTTGCAACAAAGGGAAGAGGGTGGGGGGAGGCATGAAAACAGAAGACAAACCTACTAAGTATTCATAATACTGTCCTCTTAAAATTGATCCCTTTAACTAGGTGTAGAATATTGAGGCAATTACCTACTATAATTCTCTACTATACAGTAATTTGCTCTATTTACCCCCCTTTTAAGTTAATGTTTGGCAATTATTTTACTCTCAAGGATGAATATTAACAAACATATTTGATTTGTCTTGGGAGAATCCTCCCACTATCCATCCTTCTGTTAGCTCAAGTACTCAATAGAATCCCTGGGGAAGATTTTCACTGGAACCCCTTCCACTTATGAGCAAGCACAGTTGCAGTATTTATGGAAAATGCATTTACTGCCGCTGAGACAGATGATAATGAATACAGCATATTCGAACATGGGGGATTGTGTCACACACAAATTCAAATCACAACAGGAAAGGGAAGGTGTGGGGGGACTGGTCCTTTAAGTTTCCTTTGTTTGTTTAGCTCAGTTATCTATGCAAAGGTCTGAAGGAGTGAACAGGCGGAGATATTTTTAAAGGAGGGAAATAATTTACAGCTCCCCATGCCTATTATTTTATTTATTATTTTGATTAGCATGGCACTACAATAGCCCATATGTGGGCCTAGGCTTGCTACCATCCTTGTGGAATCTGGCTGTCTTCTGCCATAGGACCTCTTCCTTGTGCAGTCCGCCTGCACTAGCAGAACTCCTCTTACACAACCCAGCAGCCTTCCTCCACAGGACGTGCAACACACGCAAACCCCACAGGTTATGTGTGAGGCAGAGGGACTCTTGCAGGTGCTTTGCGTGGCCGCTTAGAGCACTTGGTATTGAGTCAGACTCAGGGTGGCAGACAGTACAGGGAGCTGAAAGGAAGGCATCCAATGGGGGTTTTTCCCCAATCAATTTTTCCAATCAAGGTAGCAGCCCCTGCATCTCCAGCAATGAGGCCTCCCCTCAGGCACTCGCTTGCTGATCTGAGTACGCTGCTCCTGGGGACACTCATGGTTCAGGTGTTGGACTGGGGCTCTGGGAGATCTGGGTTGCAGTCCCCACTCAGCCACGTGGCTCACTGGGTGGGGGACTCGGGGCCGGTCCCTCTCTCTCCACTGAGCCCCCCCAACCCTAACAGCAGCAGAGGGTTGCTGCTGCTGTGCGGAGACACAGGAGCGATATCCAATGCCTTGAGCTCCTTACAAGAGGGGAAAGCATGGGATATAAATGCAGCAGCCGCAGCTTCAGTATCATCATCACGTTTAATTGCCCTCAATAACATCTGTGCTGGCTTTAAACTAGCCTCTTCTGTTGTTAAGCGTTCTCCTTTGGTGTACACACAAACACCCACACTCACACACCCTCAGCGGCTTGGGGGCTATAAGCCAATCTGCTTGTTTCTATTTTCTTTTAATATTTTACTGCTTTTTTTCAATTTTATAAAGTGTGTGGTTTATTTGTTTAGAACTGGATTTAAATCGGTTTTAATGTGAGACTCCTCAAGGGTCTGTTATAACCAGAAGAGCATAGTACAAATAGAAAAATAAAGAACATTTTATTTAACCAATATTTCCTTACACTTTACATTTTGGTAGATTGATTAGAATTTGTATCCAGCTGAATAGTCATGCCTACATATACACTTATGAATCGTCTAGGTTAATATAAATTTCTTTTCTGAAGAAAGCAGCAAATTCTACAGAATATTACTTTGTTGAATTAAAGTTTAGAAGAGAGCTGCTTGACATTGTCATGTTCTTTTTCACGGATAAAAAATGCACAAGGCGAAGCCCAAGAATCAAAATGTAAAACTGGATTGAGTTTTCTTTTAATTTATAACCAACAAGATAGATCTACACCTGAACCCCAGATCTACTTTATAAAGTAAGAAGCCACAACAAGGAGTAGGTCCTTCAGTGTCTGACACAGTGAAATATGATGATTATGAATTCAGCGTATATGATAGAGTATACCCTCGACTCGTATAATTTCCTGTTGCCAGGAATTTTATTATTCTCATTCTTATAGTCTTTATTTCTTATTTAAAGCAGACTACAAGGAGTGCTTCATTCTTGTGTGCCACTTGAGGGTAGTGTTGTACTCTGAGTAGACCTGGAAGCAGATGAAGTCACTGCACTTATTCCTGCCATTGACAGGGAGGGGGCACCTGTCACAGGTTGTGCTTCCGTGACATTGGCTTCAGGGGTTAGAACCGGATCAGTAACAGGATCCACAATTTCACCTGCAGTGCAGCATTTTTGCATGTGACACAAAGAGAAATGTAATAATATGCGAGAGATATTTCCTTGGTAAACCGCTATGCCCAAAATGGCAGTTTAAGCATTCATCCATCCATCCATCCATCCATCCATTCACAAGACACCTGAAACACTGGCCTCCTTCACTCACAATTCTGTGCAAAGGAGGAAGGGGCAACCAAAAGGTGCAGGGGCAGTACTGCAGGTGGCCCTGAGCATCTGGCTCCTCTCTCCAACCCCCATGTGCTGAAGGGAAGTCTGTAGCGGGGCTGGATGTGCATGGGAAGCTCTGCAATGGAGTCAATGGAGGGAAAACTCCAGTTACAATGGAGCTGTGTAACCATGGAGGGAAAGAAAGAAGAAACTCTCAGTTCATGGAAGAAATCAACCCACCACCGCTGTATAAGTCTGATTCTTACCCTCGCAGTTCCTCCCAGGTCGTAATGGATTGGTATCCATGCTTGCTTTGCATTGGCACATGTATGAGCCAATCATATTGGTACATTCTGCAAGCGTACAGCAATCATTCTCTGCCTCTGAGGCACATTCGTCCCAGTCTGTAATTCAAAAAGCAAAATTTGATAACACTTATTAGAAATAATGCATTCACTTCAATCATGCAGTAATCTTTCATTTGCAAAATCACATAAATCCAATAGAATGATCAGGGCTAAACAATGATGTCTCACCATCTGTAAGGTTACGTTTGCTCTGGTAAGTTTCCCTGCTTTTTGTCCAGTTCTGGAAAAGGACATGTGATCACCATAGAAATCATGAAGAAGACATCGCACTCTTTCCAGAAATCATTAGGAGGTCTATCAAACCACCTACCCACTATGGGCTCTGAATAAATCAATGATCAAACAAACAAACAAACAAACAAAGAACTCACTCACTCACTCCCCATTGTTTCAGGTATAGCCTTTCCAAAAATCAATGGAGAACAGGATTGACCTCCAATCTATATCCCTGGTCAGACTGGACCAGCCAAATTTTGGATATGTCACCTGCTTTCCCTGTCTCCATGCCTTTACAAACAGGATTCCTCAGCTGCTAGAACTATTAATATTAAATTAGAATAGGCATTTGTTGCAGAGGTTCAGTGCCAATGAGTCTCTGAAGATAGCTCAGTTTGTTTGGATTTTGTAACACAGTGCCTAGATATTACTGTAGCAAAGTGCTCCAATACGTTCTCCCAGGGCTGTTTTTCTTCCTCAGATTTTCCTTCAGATAAATCCTCATTGTGCAAATGAAAAATGTGGGACCTGGTTTATACTGCACAATCATTCTTTCACCATACTTTAAGATAGACTTCCCTAGCACAGTCACCTCCTGATCATTTGGACTCTAATTCCCATTATGCCTAGCCCCCATAGCCAATATGCAGGAACTCTGCCCATTGCAGCCCAAAAGATCTCGAGGCCACCAGGGTGGGAAAGGCTGGTTTCAGATATGGACATACACATATCCAGCCCCTCTTCTTCAGAAATGTACAGTACTTGGACCGCATATGCAGGCCAGGCATTACATTCGATCGCCTACCTTCCACCGCAGAGCTGTTTGAGTCCACCACTAGGGCAACACTTTTATACAGCATTGACATCATTGGATCGAAGGCAGACACGTCTCTGGGAAACTCGGGGTCATCCACGATGATTTTGAGCCTCACGATGACACTGCCAGCTTTGAGGGAGACCACCTGTACTCCAAGCTTCCCCATCCTGTGCAATGCTGCCATGCTTGCAGGCAAGGACTGCCTAATCTGAAAACAGGTGAGAGGACAACTGCTGCTTCAGCGCCAGACTCCATGTACATGGAGTGCTGCTCCCTTCAGCACCATCCTCCTTATCGTATCGTCTAATCAGAGTGCACAGAAAAGCCATATTGCTTCAATGGAGCAACTGCCCCTCTGAGCAAAGTCAGGCCAGACATTACACAACTGCCAGTCAGTTGCTGCACAGCTGAAGAAGACAAGGCAATTGAGTTGGGGTGGGACAGACATCAGCCACAAATATCCTAGAGTAGCCTATCATCTTCCAACTGAAGTGTTTGCTTTCCTGTAATTACCGTGTCACCACTTGTCATGGATCTGAGGTCCACAGTTGTCATTTCCCTTGACAATACCAGAGAGTTAATCTAGCTGCTCCTAGACACTCCATCCTCCCCACATGGACACATGGAGAACTAGGTGCTTAAGCAAAAACGATTGGGGATGTTGCACAATTTGTTCCAGAAAATAAGGAAGAAGCTTAGCTTAGGTTAGCTTTGGTTCTCCTCCATAATATTTAGCATACACACATTACTGTTAACGGCAATCCTATGAAATAGGACAAATTCTCATGAAAAATAGACACTGCACTACTACTCTGTGACACAGGTACATTCACTTTAAATTTTCCATTAGGTAAATTACCATTAGGTAATTTTATAGGTTTACCTCAGTCATCAAAATACTGGAAAATGCTTGATATTCTGTACTGTTCATGTAGAGCAACTGGTCCGTGAGGTTATAGTTCAAGATCCTTATAGTTAGTGCAAATAGCCAGGCATCTAGAAGACGCAATATTAAGGGAGTGAGGGATGGGTTTCATCTGAGAACACACTTTCACACTCGCATATCCAAACTCAGATGTCAAAGAATCTTTCTGAATGAAGCATTAATTACAGTGAGGCAAGACAACCAGATTGTGGTTATGCAAATTGTGGCTTGAGCAAAGAGAATAACACAAGAGAAGAGAAGGGAAGAGAAGAGAAGAGAAGAGAAGAGAAGAGAAGAGAAGAGAAGAGAAGAGAAGAGAAGAGACCTGACGGCCTACTCCAGAAACAGAGCAGGCTATTTGGCACAGTCAGATTACGTACATGGTGCACTGACTATACTCCTAAATGCTGGAATTTTCAAAGATGGACAGAAAAGAACCAGCTCAAAACTTTAGGTGGCATCTGTGTTTTCACTTCAAGACTGCATTTCAAATCAATGAAGGTGTGTTTTGAGTTACGGTGAAATACGACTGAGGCACACCGAATGCCCATCTTTTGTCAGGGAGTGAGCTGGCAGTGGGAGTGAAGAGAATAATATTTCTAAGATTACCAGTACCTGTCTTCACATTTCTGTATGAGGAGATGTTTCTGTCACAGGCTTCATAGCTGACTTTCACTGTGTACATTACACCTGCTTCCAGACTGGACACATCTACTTGCATGTCTGTGGTTTCTGTTGCTTGAATGAGTTCCTTGCCTTTGTACACTTCTATGTGAAATGAATGATTTTGCATGGAGTCCACACTCCAGGACATTTCAAAACTGCTGCTAGTAACATTGATGGTCCTCAGGTTTCTAATAGCAGGAGGATCTATAATAGCAATTATGAAAGATTTATCAGTTTTTAAATTAATTGCATTGTCTAATGCAATGGGTTGTAAAACAAGATTTTTAAACCATCATGAGATTTTTTATGAATGACAGTGTAGACAAACTTCAAGTAAATAAAATATCTGTCCTAATTAGAGGAGACCCACTGAAAATAATGGGATTTAAATTACACTAACATCGGATACAATCCATCACCTACATCCATGTATATGTTCATTAAGAGAAGCAAATCCTGTAATAGTCCACTCACCTGACATACATTTAAGTATACAAAAGACTGCAATTTTCTTAAAATATATATAAAGCATATATTCTCAGGGAAAGTATAAAATTGCATTTTGATGTTATACAGTGTTAGATTGCCCATACATAATGTTCATACTGCTTCATTCACTCAGTTGCACTTTTAGTATACCCAATCTTAGATATCCTGAGAAAGTTAGGTTAAGATCAAGCAGACACAAATGTTTACTACAGAATTCCATGAAAGGATGGCACGAGTGATGTGTCTGTATTTCCTCTCCTCTAAATGCATAGGAATGTATTTATGGAAAGATTATTGTGGTGCACATAACAGTAGGAACCCTATGCCATGCCTTGACAGCAGTTCAGTAGCCAAGGGCATTGGGTTTATTAATTCCTGCAAATGTAAATTTAGTAAATTGGATAGCTAAAATAAAAGGTAAAATCAACAATGACAGAAGCTATTGCAATTCTCTGGGCAGCAGTGAATTATATTGGAGACAAAACTTTTATTGAAGGGGTTTTGTTATAAGAACCAAAGTTTTCATGGCTTTCAGAACTATTGTGAATACTGGTCTGTTCTCTTAAAATGTCCAAGTATACTAATAAACTGAATGCAGTATTGAGTCCAGTCAAGAAATTATTTCTTGTTCTTTCCTTTCTCTGAGGGCCAGTGCAGAAATTTCTAAAATACACTATCGATTAAATAGCAGTTCAACATGCTAAAGCAGAGGTGCCTTCAGACAACAACCTGTACACCCAGGCCAACTTCCAGCATTTACCTCACCCTGGGGACCCTCAGGACTCCCAGTTGCAAACCTCATGCTTGCTGCGTCACATGCTGTGTGTGTACCTCAAAAAACCAAGTCTTTCCCATGAGAGGCTGGACCATACTCAGAATAATCGCCAATGCACATGGACCTCCGACGGTCACAATTCCCCAGATTCAGGCTAGCCGTTTCCAATGTCCATTTGCACTGCCTTATTCAGGACATGTTATGGAATATTTATGGACATTTAATCGTAACCTTCCTAATCTTAACCTTCCTATATAAATTTAATAATAACCTTCCTATCTAATCGTAACCCTCCTGTCATTTTCCATTGCTTCTTTCATCTTTTCCCAGCTCTTATAAAATCCAGCAGAACTATCAGGTTTCTTTCCAAATATAAAATGTTGGCCTTATTTTCTGCTTTGTGGTCTCCTCTCTGCGCTCCACACTGTCCTGTGCATGTTGTCAGTTGCCCTCAGACAAAGCAGACTTAGAAGTGAACACAGTTTTTAAAAAGGAAAGGTGACTTACAGCACTCTAGCGATCTGCCAACTTTTCGTGATACAGATGTTGAATTTGCCACCAAAACAGAACGATTTTTATTTTTAAGCAGAACATGCAGTAAGCCTGGATCAGACTCTGTTGCAACAAAGGAAAACAAGGCATAAGAAAGGAGGACAGACCTAAAGTAAAAGCACAGATCGAAGTATTTCTAGAACTTGGCTCTCTGAAAGTGAGTACACGGAGCAGGGCTTTTTCTGTGATGGTGCTTACTCCTTTGCATTTGTTCCTTAAAGGAACTGTTGGCTTTACCCTTCAAAGGACATTCTCTGCTCTTCCATGTGAGAATTAATGCATGAAATATAGAAATGATTTTACAGTAACATTGCCCTGCCTCTGGGTCTTTTGTCTCTTCTTTTGAAAGTTGCTTTCCCTCACATCCTCCCAAGAACTTTATGGACAATGGGATGTTTATTTATAGGTTCATTTTTAAACTGTACTGCACTTTTAAATTACAAAATGCCTGTGTTCTTGTTTCTTTTTATTTATCTTTAAGTTGATTTTAATGTGAAACTCTTCAAAGGCCTGAAGGGCAGAATACAACTGAAAACATGCTCGCTGTTTCTCCTACACTTCAGACTTTTGATTGATAGGTTACATGGACCTTTACAAGCCCCTTGGTTTTGACATAATATAAAGCATAGATACATATCTCAAGACTATTTCATGCAGCCAGAAGCACTCAAGAAGAAAGTGTTGAGTGTGGCCATGCACAACCAATTTACATACATGCAATTGCATGCATGTGATTACATGTTACATGTATGTAATTACATGCATGCATGTACATGGAACTCGCTCCATTATGTGCAGAAAGTTTATTTTTTACATGAAGCAACTCTCGGTGGGCTGGAAAATGCCTCTTCTTCTGGGCCATCCCAATTTTAATATATCCCACAGAGATCCCTAAAGTTCTAACTTAGAATCTGTATTAATAAATGTCTAATTAAGTCCTCTAAAAATCTAACAGCAATTACATTAGAAATAACAACCTTGTACAACTATATCAATAACTTCGTATACTCGCATCACGATATCCTTCAACAAAGAGGTGAGGTTTGCTAGTGAAACCAGTTGCTCCAGCCCAATCATGACCTGAGAAGCTACTGTCTCTGCATAGGTTTTTGCCTGAGTAGTCTTGATATGGTACACTGAGACATTTAAAGACCATAATGCTCCGGTAATCTGCAAAAAGGGAAAGTCTATGTTTATTCATTGCATGCAAGTGAAGTTATACAGGTATTCTTTTGATGTTAAACACAATGAAAGAGCTTAAGTACTGATTCAAAATAATTTAATAATTTAAAATTATGAGGTTGGCCTCAAATTCCCCCTCATATGAGGTATTCTTTGCATGTACCTTGCTATGCATTAAGTCCCAATTCACACACTTATCAAACAGGTCTACTGGCAGCTTAGAGGGGGGATCAGCTGTCCCGGAACCACATATGTGAAGCCCATGAGGGAGTTTGTTTGAACTGCCCTATTGAGACTCTGGAATCTTCACAGCCAGAATTATAACATACCACAGTATAATTCTGGATTTTGCACACTGCTCTGAAAATTCTCCAAAATCAGCTCTTAATGAAGCTAAGTCAAACCCATAGAATTACCCCACACTTGATCAAGTTTGTGGTAGTCATAATTGCCAGGGGGAAAAACTTATCACCAAATAAATGAAGGGAAAAAGAGGTCACAGTCTGCATCAAATTTGCATGTGCGTATTTAAATAGAAAGGTACAGGATTTAAAAGAATCTCTATAAATAGAAACACAACACATCTCACCATAGTGGGGAAAGTGATGACCAGGAAACCTATGTTGCTGCCAGGTAACCTGCTGCTGGGTCCCCCTGCACTCCTTTCTCACAGTGCATTTTCATTAAATCAGGCTTAGACTGGGCAGCGCATCAAAAAAGAACTATCCTCGGACAGCCTTTCAAAGAGAGGACTACCCATGGAAAGGAGAACAGATGGCTTCCCAAAGTAAAATTTATTTAAGTAGGGTCATATGTAGAAACATAACAGTGTGTGTGTGTGTGTGTGTGTGTGTGTGTGTGTGTGCGCGTGAGAGAGAGAGAGAGAGAGAGAGAGAGAGAGAGAGAGAGAGAGAGAGAGAATTTATATAAATGTGTATATCCCTTTTATGCGTTTTTACAAGAAAGAGGATTTGGCTGAAAAGAAGCATGTGCATGTACACTTTTTTGAGGGTCACAGAGAATATATGAGTTCATGAAAGAGAACGGGCAAAGGTGCATTTTCTAGCTAATAGGACCTTGGCCAGTAGGTGGTAGTCAGAGAACTTATTTAGGCTCCGTCACAGCATTGCATACGGTTCTCAGAAGTTTGTGATTGTATTTATTCATACCATAGAATGCAAAAGTCGTGAATGATTCAGAAGCCTTGGATCCAGTCTGCTTAATTCATGAAAATCCATTTTCACCAGGACTGACACGTTATACCAATATTTTGTCACTCTTTGCTCTAGAATTGAAGAGAGAGAAAAATAAAAAGAATGTCTCTGTAGCCTGATGATGGAATTAATGAAAAGATGCCGAATTGTCTCAGTGGTTACGGTTGGCATGTGTGGTCACAAGAGCCTCATTTCCCAGAAGGCCATTTGGTGAGACTAAAAGAAAAGTAACCTCCCCATGTGCATTGGTGGGCTGTGAGCTCCAGAACACAATTCCATTCGTCTGAACCCAGGCAGAGCTAATGCTAGAGGGCAGGCTTCTGCTTTGCAGCATGCCAGTTTCCCAATCAAACAATGGTAATTTAGAAAAAAACTTAAGAAATTAAATATGAAACAGGAAGGGCTGGGAGCCTGATGGATGCTAAGGGAGGTGCCAACAGCCACATTAGTGCTTCCAGGCACCATATCTCAGGCCTATTCAGATGCTTCATAACCAAACATTCTGCTTCTGTCTTCCAGGGTTCTAGCTAATGACTGTATTGCGATAATTTTATTTATTCATTCATTTTAAAATGTTTGTATACCATCTTATATTTTTTAATCTCAAGACATTGTACAAAAGAATTAAAATATTAGAAGCAGTTGAACAGAACTTTATTTAAAATACCACAGATAATATAGATATGTTAAAACTAACATTCAAAAAACTGGATAAATAAATTGGTTTTGGCCTGTCAATGGATTGAGTAGTCAGCACCAGGCGAACTCTCTGAGGAATGTATTCCACAATTGGTGTGTTACTGCTGAAAATGTGCTTCTCCTAGTAACAGCCCTTCTCACTCCTTCAAGGAGGGCTCTTGGAGAAGGACCTCTGCTGATGTTCTTAAGGTCCAGGCAGAAGTATACGGAAGGAGACATTCCATTAGACGTCTAGGTCCTAAACCACTGAGGCCTTTCTAGGTTATTGTTAAACTGGGTCTTTCAACTGGTAATTAACAAATACTGGGCTCATATAAAGTTAAATTTAATCTTATTAATATTGAATACAGTTTGATATCTTTAAAAAAAATACTAAGCTAACTGTTCTTCTGCACCAATTCTTTCTCACACTCCACCTGTGTCCCCCAGGGACCCCTCACCACAAAAAAATCCAACCACAGACCGCTAGAACACTGAGACCAAAAACAGGTTTGCATGATACCATAGCCCACTGTGTTATTTAAGCTATGGTGGGTCATGGCATCCATGGGTTGCCGTTCAAAGCCCCCACTGTGGCTTGTCATGACATGCACTGGGCCTGGAAAATTTTTAGCCATTCAAACAAACCACCCTTGCTGGATTCAAATGGCTTGAGAAGCTTCACCCAGCAAAAGTAATTACATGAATCTATCCAGCACAAAACAAGCACATTCATGATGGTTTGTGTCTTATTAACCATGCTCATATTGTACAAATTGTCCCAGACTCTGGTCAGTACTATACCTTCTGGTACAGGATCTGCACAACCCATTCCTTTGGTTGTCTCACAGCATTTTTTATGTTCTGGACAATCTATATCCAATGCACATGAAATATCTGATACTTCCACTTCCTTTGCTGGACAGGCACCAAGTCTGGAGGCAAACTCTCTGGATCTGTTAAGGGCTACAGAGCAAAACATGAACAGCACAATTGCATCGTCTGGCCAGAATATGCTTGAGGGTTTAAATACACCCAGTGACATTTCTCAGACTCCTTCCTCTTCTTTATTGACTAGTCTTCCACACACACCATACTCTCAGATGTCTTTGAATATTCCCTAAAGTTCAGATCTGTCTTTCTATGGAATATGGGGAAGGGAATTGCTGCTGAAGAAACACAAGCTTAACGCTCTCTAGGGAGCATGGAACTCATCACTGGGTACTTGTTATGCTCGCCATTCCTTGTCTGCATTAAATCTATTTTAGTCAATAGCAGCAACATCCTTCTGTAATAGCAATCTCCTACTCTTTCAGAAAATAGAAACAGGTGATAGGTAGAAGAGCGAGGCAACCACAATGAACTGTGGGCACCAAATAAGAAATGCTCCTTAGCACCACCACAAAATGGCTACTTGGAAGGCATAACAAAGGACAAGTGTCCTGCATGTAGATCTCAGACAATTCTCAATGTCTGGCTTGATCAGGAGTCAGGCAACACAATAAAATTATTCCATTTCTAAAACTCAGTCTTCACTTTCCAGCCAAACAGATGGAAAGAGGAAAGCCAGACAGCAGATGGAAAGGAAAGCTGGTCATATCTTAACATTATAGATCAGAGAACAAGACATTATGATTTTCTAAGCAGCAAGGTATGAATGCCAGGCTCACCCATTATGCTTACTCAAGAAGACAGATGATTAAGCATAGAAATATTTGCCTTCATTCCATGAGTGATTGTTCCAGCATGTAAAATGATATCTAAGCCAGGCATTGTTGTTATTTTTAAGGATTGACAGTATTAGCATAATTAATATTAATTCCTAATAACTAAGAGTATGTTTTTAATAGATCAAATGCTTAGCTATTTTTCCAATGGATTAATAAACTATCAAGATAAGTGGTGTGTAAGCTAGAAATAAAGAAGTATCAGAAGGACCTAGAAACACTAGCAACAACAAAGAAACATTTTTCAAATAGTAATGTAGATAAACTTTGATTCATACAAGATAAATGGACTTTTAAAAATATTTGAATGAAATAAATGAATAAAAATGATCTTGAGGTTGCCCATGCAGGTTACTAAAAGAACAGATGTTGATTTGCAATATTCATATTTTTAAAAATTTGTTACCGCAGTATCTTTTTTATGGACCTGTTATAGAAGGAATCTGATATTGAGCTGAACTGACTTTTGTATTCAAAGTAGCTGTTTCTTTTCCAAAGAATTACGTAAACATTTTAACAAATCCAGATATGATCTGAAAAACCAGTGCAAGCCACTGGGGTGTGTAACAATGCTGGCTTACAGCCATAGTCACCATTAATGTGGAATGTCAGGGGTCATCATATTTACATCAGCCAAAATATAGAGACAGGCTTCCAACATATCCCTGTCAAAGTCCATCAAGCTATAATTAGTATAAAAGCAACTTCCAGAATGAGGTCATCTGTTCAAAGATAGAAAGCAGTCAATGGGTTCCTTTAGTTAATAGAATTCCCCCTGATGGGACTACATGGGTGGCAAAAATGTGCACAGTTTTTCTGCATAAGACAGAATAAACTAATTCAATGAGAACGGAATGACAAAGAGTTTGTATCAGTCACTGTGGCAGTGCTTTTGCTTTCAAATATTTAAAGATTTATTACTGCACTGTGATTTATTTTATAACTGTTAAATCTGTAAACTGCTCTGAAAATTTTCAGAGTTATAGAGTGGGAGTGTTGTTGTAAATAAGCAAAGTAGCTAAGAGATGTAGAGAGGTAAAGAATGTTCATTAAGTCTCATATTTCTGAATCAGCCAAGCCAAAAGAGGATCATTAAGGGCTGGTGCACCATTTATGAGGCTGAGTGTATTGCTTGACCAGAGCTCATCTTCTAGTGACCACCTGCAATGTTATCCCAAGAAACACATCTGTCAAATGGATTTGCACTGCCAATCACAGTTCTGATTCAGTGAGTGTCAACTCTGTTCTCTCACATTTTCACTGAGTCGTTGAGTAGAATTGGTAGTAGCAGCAGGACCTGAAATGAGGCACTGTGCAAAGCTCAAAGGAAATGAATGGCTTAACATCTAAATAAAGCAATAAAGCACATGTTCTTTCTTCAGACAATGATGGTGTGTTGGTGGAAGGCACACAGTAGAATTGGCCAAAGAGCAAACCCGTCTGCCACATAAAATGTGAATTTGCTCTTGTTCTGCCATCCATGCAGAAGTAAGAGCTTCCACTGGGTAAAGATGGAAGAAATGGTATCATGGGAAAACCCACATTGAAGAGCCCACCAATTTCTCAGCTCAAATCACTTAGGACCCAAGGAAAGCTATTTTGACTCACATGAGGGGGAATACGAACATACTGACATATGTGGAATATTGTTAATTCATTCCACTAGCTGGCAATCCCTTCTTTTCATAATTTATTCAAGACTCTGTCTAGACAGTACATCACCATTCACAGAAGCTGGTGACTCAGGATCTGGGACTAGTGAGCAAACCAAAGCATGGAAGTGATGTTCTTAAGAATCATCCTGAACAAGAGGTGGGTGAAAAACCAGGTGGGGTCACATTTAAATCTGAACTTAGCAAACATGCACTTTCTGAACATACATGCAAACTGGAATGCAGCTACAAATCAACAGTCACACATTTTTTACGGTTGTGGTTCAGTCTGCAAATCTAAGAATGTGAATAAAAATGCATACATTGGAGGCAGGGCAAATATGCACAAAATGCATCACTGGAAAGGGGTATACAAATATACATTAAATTGGAGAAAATGCTTGAAAAGGTACACACAAAATGCCCATATTTTGAGAAATGTGCAATTTCATGCAGGCATTAACCCAGATATTGTCCATGTCTGGATTTAATGTTGCTGAATATAATGATTATCCCATTCAGAATATGAATTTGGCAGGGCTGAAACAGTTGGCTATATTATGAATCACCTAGTATTTTTCACAAAAATTCTTTTGCAGCTGGAGAAAATATTGTACATGTATAGTCAGCATTCTAGAGACCATGGTTTTTGGTGTACATGCACCAGGACTACAATACCCACCCCATAACATACATAAACTGCTGTGAGAACTTGGCCCAAGCACAGTGATACAAAGGGCGACTTGTGTATATGAGCACATTCTCTTTGCAGGTTATGCATAAGATGATGGTGGAGCAAAAGTGTTAAACATGTCTTTAAAAGCCTACATGCCCAACTTGTATGTGAACTAGTCTCCAGCCAGAAGTACAAATATTCTAATACTGAAGTTCTACAGATCACAACCTTAGTATACTCTTTCCATTAGTTCTTGAATACTTACGTAAGGTACAATAAAGACCCACTTGTTCATATCCGTTACAGCAATCTGTTATATTCACAGTCTCCGGGACCATAACAGGGTGGTACTCTTCTTTATAATAGGTTTTGGTACAAACACTCCATGGGATCCATCCGCCACATGGGATCTGCTTCTCATATGATCTCTGATAGGCAACCATTTTGTTCACATGCCTGATGACACTCTGATTGCATAAATGATAGCCCAGCAAGGAGAGACCTTTCTCTAGAAAGAGAGAATGGCATCTTTCAGATCAAAACTTATCCCCAAAAGTATCCACCCACCAGCGTACTTGAGAACAACTGCAGATGGGCAAAGACTATTCCATTAAATGTGATGGCACCATTTTCTACACTGATCCTACACTATTTAAGGCTTTAAATAGAAACCAATGCCTTGAATTGCACTCTAAAAGGAATTTGCAAGCACTATAGGTCTCTCAGGGCAGGCGTAATATGGTCCTAATGCAAATATCCTCTTTTATTCTCTTTGTTCTTTTTCTTTTTCTTGATGAACTATATGTACAGATTGACAGACCAGGCAAAATCCCACTTAACATTACACAGGGATTGCAATTTCAGACCAATCTGGGAGAAAACACAGGAAGAAAGAAAATCTAGAAAACTACCAGATAGTACTGAGCGAAGCATGAAAAATGTCTAGTCACTATGGTGCGGTTGGTCAAAGGTATTTTGCTGGCTTGAAGCAGAGGGGCGAATGACAGCTCCTCCTGCCATGAGTCCTTTTTTAACAGAATTCAGTCCTCTGTTTGAAGGGTTGCTAAAGGGCCACTCTGATATGGAGGTGACCTCTATTTGAGGGAATAGCCTGTCTAATGCCATTTTAAAAATAAAGAACCATACCAAGGGAGACCAAGGCCCTTGAAATGGCCCAGCAATAGCAGAATGAACTGGTCACAGTTTTCTGTACAATAGTCTTTCAAAAGTTATTCAGAGTATAGTTATATTAATTTCTAAATTTACTTCTAGACCTATAAATAAGTATGACTAAATTCTATGCTAATCTGTGCCCTCTTTCATCTTCTTATATGGTGAGGGGGGGGGGGTTGGCAATTCATGGGTGGTTCTTCTAACGTCACATTGTGTAGCACTTAAGTTGTGTAGCACTTAAGGCCCATCATGATATTTTGGTGAACAAGTCCTTGAAGCACCTTGTTCTTCTCGCTGGCAGTAAAAGTAGAACAATAATAAGTTAAATGACTGATTAACTCTGCTGCTCCAAGCCAGCTGCCTCACTCAAAACCTGTTTAAAATATTAAGAAGCATGAAAACAGTGGCCCCACACCTTCTGCAGTCATCTTTCAGATGATGTTCCCAGATTTCGTGCAGTTTTTTGAAATGCCTCTGCTAAGGCTTAGTCATGGGCAGTAAGAGCTTTAATGCGCTGGTATTTTTTGGCCCTGCCCCTTTTGCCTCTGGCACCATCCACCACTGGAAAGTGGCCCTAAAACATTCCCCCAAAATTGAATCCAGAGGATGCTGGAAGAGATTTCCTAAATTTGGTTTCCACTCATTGGTAGCAACGCTTCTGATGTCCAACAAAGGTGTTCACCAGCACTCCTTGGAGGCGCCTGGGATTAACTCTGAGACTGTTGCATGCAAACATGTGGTTCTCTACTAGATGGCCCATGATCAGGCAACCTGCTTTGGGCACATGAACTTGCAGAAACGAGATTGGTGCCTCCTGGAAATGGGGACCTCTTGGAGGTGGCACTCAAATACAAGAGCTCTATTTGCAGTGATAAAACTGTCATGTTCTTCTGATGGCAAGTAATACAGATATACTATTTATAACTGCTGCTTACCACTGCTGTTTTGTACATTTGGGGTTTTAGGTTGTACGCTCTAGTGTTTTAAGTATATTTTGATGTGTATTTTTGTCCTGCTTAAAATGAATTGTAAACCAGGCTGAACTTAATTATGTATATATAGATGAAAATATTTTTAAATGCACAAATTTACCATCCAGTCAAGCATTACCTCTCCTCTTAAATCCTGGCATCATTGGATCCTAATCCCATTACCAGTAAGGAATTGCTGAGGCATTGTTATAAACCATCTAGAGAGCTTTGGCTGTGGGGCAGTATACAATATCATCATCATCATCCCTACCTTAAGCCCCCCTGTTGACACCTACCCTAATATCAGCTAGGATACTGCTGACTGGTGTTTGAAGATTCACTGCTAAATGGTATTTGAGGATTCCTATGAGAGCCATGTTACAGCCCAGAGCTTAGAGCTCAAAGCTCATTTCTCAGAGAACTGCTGTTCCCCGGTGAAGAGTTGCTAGGTGCAAGAGGGATGGTGTTTACAAATAGCATTTTCCACTTAAACATCCAACCGTGAGGACCAGACTTCCATTAAATTAAACAGAATGTCTTTTAATTTTTTTAACCAACTATGAGCTGAATTTTCCAGCATGGCCATAATACAATGATTACTGGATTTAGAATTATTGCTTGATTGTCACTTTTGTCACCTTTTTCACTTCTGCTCTCAAATATATTTGTGAAAATTAAATGCTAATCTGACAACTAGCCGTTGCAGAAGGGTTGCAGGTTTATTACCAAGGTATCTGTAAAGAAATCTTTTCAGTTTCTTAAAAATAGTAATAGGTTTATATATACAGTAGATTGTTGCAAGATTGGTAGTTCAAATGGTAAACACGGTAGGCAACAGTATGTAGTGTACCTAATTAGACAACACATGGTACCCTGACAGCCAAGCACCCATGGAAGTGCGACATGTGAAGCAAGTCCTGAGAGCAATAATGTTGTTAAAGAACATTTGATACAAGAATTGAAGAGCTGCCAACTGTTCCCTGCATCCTGAGCACCCCTTACCCTAGTCTAAAAGCCAGTCTTTCACTAAAAGCAAAATAATGCAGTTATATGCTCCAACATTATTAACAGAAAGAAAAACATAACTCTTGGACAGCCCTCTCCACAAGGATGCAACTATTTACATTTTTAGAGGTCATTTTAGCCTCATTTAACAAGAGAACAGATCATTAGCTTTTGTTTTCCTGTGTGTTTACACATTGTCAGCTTTTATTACTCCTTTGCATTTCTTCTGTTTTTTGTCATTTTTGATGATTGCCAAAACTCTGGGAACAGAGATCTGCAGGCTAGATGCCATGTTAAAGCCACCTTTGCTTTTTATGTTGAGATGAAGCAGCTTCCCTCCCAAGGGAGCCTAAGGAGAGGGGGCGATTTTCATCAATAGGCCAGCATGGGAGTGCAGTACAAAATACAGTCACACCATGTAATGTGTAGTTTTGCCTTGTGTTTCTCAACCTGTCATTGTAAACTGGTGATATTCATTCAGACTCCACAGGTTACATTCTTGCGGGTTTCCTAGTGGTTACCAATGCTTGTAACAAAATGAATGCTTAGAATTCATGAATGTTGAGTTTATCTACAACACCCACAAACATTTGAGAAGAAGAAAAAATACATTGTGTGAGGTAAATATTGGTAATCATTCAGAAATACAACCTATGATTTAACAGTGAGTAACAAATAGAAATGATCTTTAAATATAGTAATAACATAGAATCTGTATAGTCTCACTACTCCTATCTTTAGCTGGACTAGCCACCATGTTGGCTCCATGAAGCACCATAATTTGGGGTTGTGCATGATGCCATTGTTTTTAAATACAAAAACAGGTGCTCACAGGTGCCCACATGGTGATCTTCACTCCCATTCACCATATTCTCTTCCTGAAACCTCCAGAACTGATTTAGCTTATCATGCTGGCTCAGCAAATGTCTGAACTGAAAATGTGATTGTAAAGTTCCAGAGCTAAAAATGGCATAGATGTGTTCAAAATCAATACATTTTCAGATAGTTATCAGGATGTACCTATGAGCCTGATAAAAATGGAGCCATTCTCTAGTGCCTACATAATGTATTGCGTATTCATATATGCAGCTACTCAGGAAAAGCTCTCAGTCAATTCAGATGGGCTCACTTCCTGGTAAGAGCATGTACAGTTGCAGCCACAGAGATTAGGTGAGCTCTGCTAACACTTCATTCCTTATTAAGCTTCCCCAGGTGCCAAAATCCTTCTCAAAATGGCGATCAGAGAATGTAAATCTATGCCTGCCAGTAAGATACAGTGAAATATTATGCAAATAAATAGTTTTTGCTAAGGTACAATAGAGTTTTTTTAAATGCATCATTTACTGTCTCATCCAAAATGCCCCAAAGCGTATTGTTACTCACCTGTAAAGGTATTGCTTATTCCCTGCCCTAGCGTGCTGCTCAGGATGAAGACAGAAGAAATAAGGATCCAAGTTATGGAACTAAAGGAGCGCCTTGTCATTTTGGTAATATTTCTGTTCCCAGGGAACAAAGTAGTTGTTGGTATTGCATCCAGATATTAAGAAATGAAGTCTATAAATACAGGGTTTTTTCTCCTTTGTATATAGGTGAAACAACTGTTCTCAGAACAAAGAGAAAACTCAGCCAGTCTCTTGCCAGTGTGGGTTCGTTAGTGCTTTCCCCATGGAATGGCTGCATCTTAATTACTAGCACTGGTCCTCAGCAACCTGATATACTCGTCTACAGAATAACACCCTGACTGAAGCATGCTGACTTGGAACCAAGTTCTACAGGAATCAGTTCAGTGGGATTCTACTGGAATCAACTGCATTCAGCAGGGTAAGGGTTGCAGGAAGGAAGACTGAACTAAGTAAGTCAGAAGTTAGCTGCAATTGCCTTGTGAGAGATGGGATACAGCCTGGGTGGGAGGAGAAAGCTAGACTGGGCTTGGTGGAGGGAGGAGACATGAAATAGTGGTGAAATGCGTGGAAAAGAGGAAAATACTGAATGTATGGATATGAACTGCCTTCTCACAGTGTGTCATTCCAATCTACACATCTTCCCCACTAATTCATCTTTCTTCCAGCTGGAAGGCACCTGAGTACTCATCTGAAGGCATTGCACAGCTGTTCCAACTTTCCCTCTCTAACAAATTTTCCATGGAAACAGACTAGAAGCAGCAGCAGTAAGAAAGCACAAGAGAGTTATGAGGATAAGATGGCAATGTCTGAGCCCTGTCCCTCATACAATTCTGTGAATGAGGCAGGGTGGTGGAACTATAACAGCCTTGCCTGGAGGTACCCCACTGTGTC